TTACTTCAACGAATGAAGATATATATATATATTTTTTTTTCACGTCACTTTCTTTTCTAACCAAGAGTTTATTATTATGAACATTGATTTAATCATGCTTCAAATCGACAAAACAAATGTTCATGAGTTTTATATTTTCCTTGGTAAACGAGCAAGCCTTGAATGTAAATTAATTTGAAATATAAAGATTTTTTTTATTAGTTTGTCCTTCTTGCCACACGTTTTCCAAAACATAAGACATCCCCTTTTTTTTTTTTTTGGTATTTGTCAAATCCATAGTTATAAAACCCAAACACGACCAGCTATTCCGATTGAAAACCCAGTAAATAGGATTTTGTCTGATTCGGTCACAATAGTTGGCCCAAATCGATGACATTGCGGTTGAACCACAGATGATCTGCTTGAACCTTGTGGGTTTAATAAGGCTTGCCGATTCTCATGTAATTTTCATGTTTCCAAAACCTGGACGTCAGGGTTAGCAGTGAGGCCCTTTCCACTAGGCTATTGGGGTGGGAAAAAGAATCGGAACCAACTGAAACATACTAAAACCGACGGTTCGATTCTGGTTAAATTGTAAATGATTTTGATTTTCAGAATCAAGAACCGATTTGTTCTTGGTTTGAATTCGATTCTAGCACCCTGAACAAGAATCAAGAATAAGTTCAATCGACTGTGTTTATTTATTGATTTGGTAAAAATAATTTTTATTATACAATATTTTATATGAAAATAGAACTATTATTTCATTGAATGAGATTTACTGTTTTTAATTTTGGATATAATTATTAACTTTCGGTAATCGTACTTTATAATTTGTATTAACAATCAAGAAATTTTATTTATGGAACCAAACCAATCTGGAAGCATTCGATTCCGTTCTGGTTGGCTCCCATAAGTACTGATGAAACCAATGATCGATATCGTTATAAGAAAACAATTCATTCTTACTTTGGTTCTGATTCTCTTCAGAAGTGAACCATTAGGAACCATACCATCCCTACAGGCTACCATCACTTGATACAATAACAGTCAAGTGAAAAGACAACCATTTCTAAAAGACAGTGATTTAAATTAAATGACGCAATAATTTCATAATATTCTAAACTTCAATTTGATTCCTTTTCTCTTACTTCAACGAATGAAGATATATATATATATTTTTTTCACGTCACTTTCTTTTCTAACCAAGAGTTTATTATTATGAACATTGATTTAATCATGCTTCAAATCGACAAAAAAAATGTTCATGAGTTTTATATTTTCCTTGGTAAACGAGCAAGCCTTGAATGTAAATTAATTTGAAATATAAAGATTTTTTTTTTTTTTAAATTTATGTGATGTGAGATGATAAGACAAATAAAATGATCATATATTCACAGATTTAATTGGCCATCTGTTGACACATAAAA